GCCGATGAAACAAGAGATTCGAACCAAGTCTTGGAAGACCGCTGGCATCAGTGAGGACGAGAAAAAAAAAAGTTCGTGGAACAAGGCCGACAACAAGCCCGACAAGCCTTCCTTACGAAAACCAAACAAATCATAGGAGATTCATGATAAACTGTTTTGCAGATATCATCATAACTGAGTAACCGAGGAAGCCAGAGGTATTGATCATACCCCACGGTACAATAGGGTCACATGATCATGGAGTGTTGGCCCGCAGTCATAGTGACCGAGGAATCCAATATTGATTTTTTTACCTCACGATACAATGGTGTCACGTGGTCAGGAAGTGTCATAGTGACCATGAAGTTGGCTGGGGATTCAAAAAGTGGTATATACAATAGCGGAAGAGATTAGGGCCTGATAAAAGCTTTATTTAGGAAATACAGCTTACAGAGGCTTTTGTCAAAAGTGATCTCGTACCGCTATTCTGTATACTACTCCTTGGCATACACAGGCTGGAGAGTTTCATAAATGCCTTGACAAACCTCTGGTACAAAGGTGCAAATGGTGTTAGACGGCACTCTGTATAGGTAGGAAAGAGACTTGAAGCTGTCACCTATGGTGGGAAAATGCAAAGAAAGAATATAATAACATCAGTAATATTCAATGAGACTCATCAAATAATTTAAAGTTCACATGCAACGAAAAAATCAAACATAATTAAAACACAATTATCACTTTTTCATGACATATAATATACATTACTGGTTATGAAAAACATATAAACAAAATTATAAGTGTACAATCGCAAATCAAAATAACAATATTTTGTACTTGGGTTTACTTCCCAAGAAATGAAGCAGCCGGGATACCGAACCAAGTCAGAGCGGGTGGGTGTGCACTCAAGTGTAACGGCTGGTTCATTTGCAGATTCCCTCACGGCTCATTGTGTGTGTATATATAGAGATGTTGGGTTTTGTAAATACATGCTCATTTTTTGTGTATAACATTTTGTAATCTACATACATCATAACATGTCATGTGTACAAGTATCACACCTGCCTGTCTGTGTAATTGCATAATGTGACAGAGACTGAACTCGGGCCATAAATCAATTATAGCCGGATAGGTGTTAAGTTCAAATTGCATGTGGTCAGTGATCGAAGTTGTGTATTGAATATTGTCACATAGGTGTCAATAAAACACACGTTGAGATTTGTCTGTGACAACGACATATCTATATCACAGTTAGAAATTCTGTCAAAGCTGAATAATGACATTGCTTTTAAGTATCGAATTAGTGAATCGTTTGAACTCCGATTTCGCGCGGTTTTTGTCATCGAGTTATTTTTCAACTTTATAAGTTGAATTTGCATTTTTGATGATTTGTTTCTGTAAGTCCATACCGAAAGGTATCAGAATCTGCAAAGTTGTGATTTACGTTGCATGTGACCTTTAAATAAACTTACACAACTATTTTGCCCACATATGGTTTCAAAAGTTAGCATAAAAAAATATAATTAACAATCATTACACTGTTATCCTATGATTCAAATATTACCTTTATAGGGTAAGTATTCTTATTGTAATTAGTGATATCTATACTCCAGCTGCAATATGAAACTTGAAAGTTGAAAAATATGATATATATATATGTAGCAGTGACATTTCACTTTGCATTATATATTTGGTTTATGTAAAATGTCAATAAAAAAATCATATAAAAACATTTCTTGGTGGTGTTACACAGTTTTGTAGCCAACAGTATTATTTGTGCTTGTCCTGTGTAGGCCAGGTTAATGAATATGCATTTCACGTGCATTTCATGTTTATGGGAATCTTTGTTATAACACGGATGATTTTGATTGGTTGATTGGATCGTCTGCTTCAACATGATCAAACCTCGTGGTGTCTTGTGATTTTCATTGCATTCTGAGAGCTGATAATGTAAGGTCGAGTCAGAGGAATCACCAGGTTAGTTATATTTGGTAATGCATATAAAATAAAGTTCTAGACTAAAAACGTCTATTTATATTAAATAAAGTTGTCAGTTTGGATATGTAAATATGTTGTGCTAATCCGTGATAGGCTGTAAAGTTTTTATGCCTCAATTCGATTGCTATTATGAATATTTTTCATAATGTTTCTTGGATGGGTGACATGCGTGTAGTCTGTGCTCGCTGTGGTGGTGGCTGTTGGAATATGATGTTCACTTCTGTGTGCGAGTGATGGGTTCATTGTGATTCATGTTAACTTTGTTTTCACTTTATTGTATTAGAATCTAGGCACCTGTCACGCATCGAGCAGATGTCCAGGAGTAGTTTCGTCTTATAGACGGTTGAGCAAATTTTGAATATAATGTAAACGTGTAAATATTTCATTTTCCTCTGGAAAATGTAACCAATATGCATAGGTTCTTATTTCACACTCAGTATTGTCATATTTGTGAACTAACTGAAAAGGAAAAATATTTGTTATCAATGTATTTATTTCGTTCAATGTGATGTGCATATCGCTCAATGTGACCATGATTTATATGTGCTTCAGTTGTCTCCCTTTTCTGTTAATCAATTGTTACAAATGAATCTGTGCTAATACCCTTGTGATAAAAAAACAACAACAACCCAAAACATTGTGATATCAATACATATTAATGAAATGTTTACAGGGTATTCCTCTGCTTCTTCTGCTACTTCTTCCTGTGATCTAAAGAATAAATGGATTCGCACCCTACAGCAAGTCATTGTGTTTTCTCGGCGTGATAGCTGTGACATATAGTCCACAATTTATGAAATATATCATCTAAATATTGTAGAAAATTCGTGAAGGAGAAGGGCGTTGTTATTGTGGCTCTGTGCCGAAAATCATATTTGCCATAAAACAAGGTTAGAGTTCCACCGGTAAACCGCTTAAAATGTATTCAATTTGTTATGATTATATCGAGGGGTTTGGGTTTAGGTCGGGGTCAAGTTAGGTTTTCTCTAAAAAACATCTTTTCTTAGACATAGAATGATGAAAAAACGGGCGTTCAGTTTCAACTTCTCTAACGAGATGGTCGTAAAATCGCGCAGCAGAAAACCTCTGCTACGTCTGCTTCAGACGTTTTGATACCATGGAAACAGAATACCGCGAGATATTATGAGATCGACACTAGTATCGGCAGATCGAATCGTGTGAGAGGTAGCAATTCGATCGGTCGATATCAGTTACAACCACCGAACATGTTGTACAATGTATGGAAATCGGCAGGTCGTTACGACATGCCGACCCGTGTGAGTCGCACTTAAGATTTAATTTTTAATGTCAATTTTTACTGTTTACTGTCATAATGGATTCGTGCCTTTTATTCTATATTCGTTTCCCTTGTTTTTCTAGCTGCAATATGATGCGCGTTTAAAGCGTCATTAACACTCCTTTAACGAGATATTAGTGATTTTCAACATCACTTTCATTGTGCTTGTTAACATACGATAACAATACAAGTATATCTCGAAGCGAAAAGCAGCAAACTTCACTTTCTCACTCCATGCTCAAATAGTTCTATAAATAACATCTGTGATAATGTAGACGTCGTTGTGGAAATATAAATGTAACAGTGTCCGTGAGACAATAACGCCTCCACTCATACAGAGCATGTGTCTTGCTACCATCACGGTTTCTAGATAAACAGAAGCGGCCACACTATATATACATATATGCATAAAATAAGCACCACCTTGAATTTTTAGTAATTAATTTTGTCTGAAATGAAATTCTAAACTCTTTCCAAAAAATAACCTTTATAATTTGATACAGCAAGCATTTAACATTTCAAAAACGAAAACATCATTGAAATTACCATGTATTTTAATTAGGATAATTGCCTATATTTAAAACAGGTATTTTTCTGTCCTAAAACAAGTTACCTTATTTTGAAAAGTGAAAGTAATAATTGATTGTTGTGTTGGCTATAAATTCGTTATTTATTGTGGATGAAAGTTTGAGGAAAACTTACAGTCAAACTAAAAAAAGGAAATTTTTAAAATGCAGTAAAAGTTGCTTTACAAACAAAACAAACAGAGTTTAGCTGTAATTATGAGTATCCGGCAAGGAGAAGTAAATGTCATCTTGGTATATAACATAATTGTTATTTTTAGTCAAAACTTAATTTAATGGTGTGTTTGAGCAGGAGAGGAATAGTTATTTTGGGTAAAAATTCAGTCCCATCACATTTTCATCAACATATTCTTTTATAAAGAATAGAAAGCCTTATGTTATTTGTAAAATTGTCAGTGGATAAAGCTTCTTTAACTACAGGTGGATTAAATTGATGGCTATACCCTAACTTTTCTGTAGAATCACATCTTATTTCCAAAATAGGGTGGTGCTTAATTAATGCACGGGTGTATATTTTCCCGAACAGCATGTTTGTTACCATGAAGCAATTTTGAAGGCGCCATGGTGTAGCTCTGAGACAACGTTGTTGATTTTTGGCTCTTCAATAATTATTTTCCCGACCAATTATTGTTTGTGTATTCCATAAAACATTAAAGCTAAAACCTAGCACGAGGGAGTTCTTAATCATCTGTCTTGCCTTTAAAGCCATGGGTCCCTAGTATGGTGATCTACCTTCAGTTGTTGGCGATCTATAGCCTGTTTTTATCTTGTATTGTCCTAATAGTGCTATTAGTTTTAACCTTCCACACTAGTTTTAAATCTAATTGTGATATTCTAGTTGTTTTACTGTCCTTCGATGACAGGTTCTATAATATACACATATTCAATGTAAAATGTTCTCGTCACGATATGGTTGCAATATTGCCGATGTGACGTTAAATATTAACTCACTCACTCACTCACTTTAAAGCCATGATATGTTTTTCAATACATTAGTTTTCATGAAAACAGCTTATAATCTGATGGTTGGAGTGTAGTAGGTGTCAATGCCTTTTCCCGAGTATTTAGAGTCAAAACTGTAATTTATCCAAATAACACATATGCACTTTGCTCCTTTCAAACATGTTTATTTTCATCATTTGCAGCTGATGATCTTCACGGACTGTGTGGTGTATGGAACCGTGGTGTAACGAAGACAAGTCGGTCGATGACCAATAACAGTTTGACAGCAAAACAAACTAAAACAAGCTAGTGGTCCTAATTGCAAAATGAGTGTGTTATTCCATTTTTGACTGAATAATGTTATCCATTTTGATGTTATTTGTTGCATCACAGTTTGTCTCGACCAGATGCAAACACAACAGTATAGATCTGTTGAAGTAAAGTGGATTTCATGTTTATAACCAAATGACATTCACGGCATTCTCCAATCGATGTTTCAGAAGACAAGTCGTTTAGTCATTTATCTTAAGATCTGTCAGACAAAGATTAAACTGAACAAATGGATGTCTAATTGTTGTTTATGTTATCATAGACATGTATGTTTATACTGTAACCTTTTCAAGCGTTAAATGGCATTCTTGGTAAAACCAACACTTTAGATGCTAGACTGATCACGAAATTGTTTCAAAGAGAGATTAGCATCAGTAAGTGTTTCATTCAATAAGAAAAAAGCCTGAGAGAGGCATGGGAGAGAAACAAGGTTTCAAGTACAATGTCATGATTCCCTTGTTTGTTTGCCCATGCTGTCCAAATGTCCAAGTACAATTGTGAGCAGGTTTTGGGACTCATGCATTCCACTACGTAACCAGTTATTTGTCTTGCATCTAATTTGGTAGTTCACATTGACCATTCAAAGGGATGTTGATAGTTTTAACCGTTAAGATTTTGTTTGAACAGGCTCAAACCATGTAGCTTCTCGTGACGTAGGATATGTATATACACATTCATATGTATATTGACAAGCAGACTTTATTACAACAATTATCCACCTAGGGTCCATGCAGGTAGCAAAGGTACAGTAAGTCCCTATGGTCCGTAGTATGGTGATCTACCTTTAGATGTTGGCGATGTATAGCCTTTCTTATATTGCATTGCCCGAAATAGGTATACATTTTTTAAACCAGATACTAGTTTTAATATTTAAAATGCTCATATTCTAGTTGTTTTGATGTCTTTTGTTGACCGATTGTATACTCCAATATTAACTAATTTAAACCTATTACTTGTTTTAGTCACGATATGGCTGAAATATTGTGAATGTGACTATATATTGTAACTCACTCACTCATTCACTCACTATTGCAACAATTACATCAGAATTCAGATATTGCCCCTAGGCAGTTAAACGGGAGACAATGTCCACCTTCCTTTTTTATGAATCAAAGTTCTGATCACCAGATATCCCAAATCAATATCCAAGCTGGGACAATAGAAGAACACTAGTTCCTACTGAACTACATATAAGGTCCGTTTGAGTCAGAAACGGACCGATGAATTGCAAATTTTATCATTGTACAAAATTGCCACATAAATATAAATAGTACACATGTTTATCATTTACTAATACCCAACAGCTTTCTTATATTTGAAAATTTTCCGGACTCCACCAAAAAAGTTGTTTAAGAAACTATCATCATTGAAAACGCAAAAGTTGTTATCTGTCGCGGCGGGGTGAAACCGCAGAAACGGAACAGCCACTATCTCGTCGTGCACGGGATACACATGCCTGATGAAAAATGAAGTTGAATGCTGACGTGAAACAGTTGATGATTAAAGTGTACGATTTTTTCCGTGCTGAAGCCGAAAGGGGCAAACCATTTTATGCCATTAATAAATTCCGTAAGCGGGCAGCAAAAGCTTTAGGAGTATCAGCAAGGGTACTGACAAATGTTCTGGAACACAAACATTGTGAGGGTGATGCGAAGCAGGTAGGGGTCGTGTCAAAATCACACAAATTAAAACATTTGGACAACTTTCAAAAGAACCTTGTAAGGCAGTCTATCAACAAGCTCTATTCTGAAAACAAATACATGTCGCTGAAAATTTTAAAAAGCATTTGAAGCAAGAACACAACCTCAGAGTATCAAAGTACACACTCTGGCGACTCTTACACTCTTTCGGGTATCGTTATAAGAAAATTTCGGGGGAGAATAGGTCAGTACTCTGTGAACGCCCTGATATCGTTCGCTTGAGAAATAATTTTCTCAGGGTTATAAAGAAGAAGCGCGAGGAAGGGTTCGAGCCAGTGTACTTGGACGAGACCTGGGTCAATGCCTCGCACACTGCCAGCAGTCAGTGGGTACCCGATGGGGGTGATAAGGGGTCACGTAGAAAGCTGCCTCTAGGGAAAGGAGAGAGACTAATCATTCTCCATGCTGGTTGCTCCAGCAAAGGCTTTCTCCCAGGCTGCGACTTGGTATTCAGGGCAAAGTCCACAGATAACAGAGACTACCATTCCGAGATGAATGGTGCGGTTTTCCTCGATTGGGTTAAAACAAGTTGGTACCAGCTCTACCAGAGAAGTCTTTTATCGTAATGGACAATGCCCCATACCACAGCGTGCAGGACCCCGACAGTAAAGCCCCGACATCGAACAGTCGAAAAGGTGATATGATATCATGGCTCGACAAATTTCAGATCGCACGGCCTTCAAAGGCAACGAAGCCTCAGCTATATGAGATCATAAAAACCCACAAAGGTGAACCTTTCTACAAAGTTGACAGTTACATAAAAGTAAGGGTCACGATATTCTGCGACTTCCACCCTATCACTGTGACCTTAACCCCATTGAAATGATATGGGGTATTGTCAAAGGAGATGTTGCCAGATCAAACACAACTTTTAGATTACGTGACGTAGAGGTTTTGGTTAAGGAATCCCTTAACAAAATCACGACTGAAACTTGGCAAAACTGTGTCAACAAGGTAGCTAACGTCATTGAACAAGGTTACTGGTCTCGGGATGGCTTACAACAGGCAACTGTGGCACCACTTGTCATCCCTTTAAGTCGTGACTATGACACTACGACAGACGAGGAACCGACAGGTCTCCCGGAATAGATTTTGAGATGTCCCCCGCCATGACTGGCTGTTCCGTTTCTGCGGTTTCACCCCGCCGCGACAGATAACAACTTTTGCGTTTTCAATGATGATAGTTTCTTAAACAACTTTTTGGTGGAGTCCGGAAAATTTTCAAATATAAGAAAGCTGTTGGGTATTAGTAAATGATAAACATGTGTACTATTTATATTTATGTGGCAATTTTGTACAATGATAAAATTTGCAATTCATCGGTCCGTTTCTGACTCAAACGGACTGTGATACGTCAAACACCTTTCAGGGTCAAGCCACTTACCATTTATTTTTTCTTCCAAATTACATTTTTACACACTGTTTACATTCGATATGCTTTCAAAATTTATCGATTAATTCAATATCTTTAGAAAATTCAATAATAATAGATCCTATATAGATGATGTTTGGAAATATTGATCCCTTGTGATGAAAACCACCAATACAGTGGAGCAGAACAAGGGATAGTAAGTGGAGGATTCTCACCGTTCAATGAATGCTCATGATGTGTAAATGATGCCATTGTTTAGTAGCACATTTCAGGCAATGACAAACAAGGTTTCAGCCAAAACGCAAAAGCAGTATCTCTGCCTGGCCGTTCAAGGGTATAAAATTATTGAGTATGCCGTCCGTTTCATCGATACACATTAACATGGAGAGGTGAACACTTCCATTGGAACTGAGATTGCAGATAGTGCGTATGCACATGATCACATTGATTTCTGCCACTCTGTCATCAGTAGACTTATCACGAAACACCAACAAACAGGCAATGTCAAGGATCGACCAAGGCCAGGTCAACCCAGGAAGACTACTCCAGCAGCCGATCGCAGTCTGACCCGTTACGTGAGGCGGGAACCCTTCGCCACGAGCACTCGTTTGAAGCAGCTCTGGGTGACTTTTGTCGAAGAACCATCTCTTGGTTTGCGGTCCCGATGCTTCATCAGGCATCCCACTCTGACCCGTGATCATCAAATGCAACGTCTGCAGTGGTGCTATGCTTGATGGCGCTGGAATATTCGGACCCGGAGACGGATCCATTGGTCAGACGAATGCAGGTTCCTGCTTTAATTCAAGTAACTGTTTTGTCACCTGAGAGTTTGGAGGCAGTAGTATACAAAATGGGGCTGCGGGACCAGGTCCCTCCCAAGGGCTCAATTTAAAAAATCGAGCTCTTGGGAAGTCCCTAACCCCATAGCCCCTTTGTGTATACTACTACTGAGGTGCATGCAAAATTTGATGAAAATCGGTCGAATAGTTGATATATTGACTTTTAAGTGAGTTTGGGGTGGGTCGGGAAAAAGGCTTGATCGCCTCTTGGGTTGTTGCTCCTCCGAGCGTTGTGGGCGGACGAGTCGCAGTGCGTGTGCGTGTGTCTCTCTCGGCTTGATGTACAGGTGGCTGGCTGGCTGGCTGGCTACATTATGCAGAAAAATAGGCATGCAAGACTGATACAAGATCATGACGAGGAACTATCATAACATGCTGGGTGATGTGTAAGGGACTGTGTCGTGAGGTACGATCATCAACTACTCTCTGACGAATGCTCTCGGTGGTCCTTCTTTCAAGTAGTGCAGTTCGGTTCACAGTCTTTGATGTCAACAAGGTCTACATTGTACGTTTTCATTGACATATCGGATCGGTGGTGCGTTTTCTGCTGTCTCCATCGTATTCTCCCGGCTGGAACAAGTACCTAACGCTGACCCAGTCTGGTAATGTTTTCTCTGTTTTATCGTGACGTGCTGCTGCCGACGATGATTCGACAGATTTCATTTTGATGGCTTCGACGGGTCTCTTGCCCACGAGTCCGGAAACGTACTTGTTGTTGGCTTTGGCGTATCGTTTGGAGGCCATTGAAATCCCACCTCTCAAACCTTTCTCCACGAACAGGTGCATGTCAAAATCCGTCAGTAGTTTCAGCTCCAAGTCGGTCTTTTTCAACAAGGCATCCCAAGAGAGACCGGGGGATGAGAAATACCATGCGGGGTCCAGGCCGTACTGTTTTGAGCACGTTTTTCTGAATATCTCGAACACGTCGGCCAGCAGCATCATGTCCGTTTTCAAGTACAGGTCGTGGCAATCGCCCAAATTCTAGCAGCCCAGTTTGTCCCACACGTTAATCCGAGCGCGTGATCGTCTTGAAAGATATTGGAAATGGTCATGTTGCTGTAAAAGCAGTCGATGGGAGATAATCGCGTCTCGTCCTTTGAACGGTACGTAGTTCGCTATGTCCAGGTAGACCATGTCGATCGGGTCCGTGACCCAGCCCAAGCCCATGTGCGAGAAGCGTTCCAGGGATTCTCGTATTTTTGCAAACGAGGTGTCGATGGACGCGTCAATGGATTCTGATTTAGTCGCGACTTCTTGCTTGCCTTTGAAGTAAGGCCGGACGTGCTCGGTGGTGCTGTCCATCTGCTGTTTGTCCAGCGACAT